TCAAGTGTATTTCTGACAGTATCTAGTTTGAGAACCTGTATGTATTGGCAAAAATAAATGAAAGTACTCACCAAGTTGTCTAGTTTAGGAAAAGAGGTTCCATGCCTGCACCGAAGCACCAACATTTTTTTTCAGCAAAATTTTTATAAGCCTTTAAGAAAAAGACAGCTTTAGCATGAGAAGAAACTAAATTATAGAAATGGAACAAATAAATGAAATGAATAGCAAAGCTTCAGTTCTAAGGCAGAATATGTCATGTTAATTATTTTATCCAGTCATACCTGTATTAGGGGGCCACAAAATCAAGTTTAATCTTCTGTTGCTTTAAAAGTAGGATGAAAGCTAAATCAGAGAGGAAATGACACAGGCACTGTATTTTGAGATACTTCTAGGGCAATGGTGACAAAACTAGACTTCACTATGGGGAAATGTACAAAGTCACAGTATTAAAGGAGGTCTAAGAAGGCTGGAAAAAACTTATAAGAAAAATAAATGCACCAAATAAACTGAGGAGTTTAAAGTTTTATCAGAAGATTAGTCTGCATACAATGACTACACAACCAACAACAATGAATGAAATAAGGAGAATTAACCAACATCTAGGAATTAAATTCATTATTTGACACTATATGTAATTTATGTTGATAATCTCTAATACTTACCCAATGCCAATTAGAAGCTGTAATATATAAAAAATAATTTTTACTTGAACTTTGTTAGCTTGCCTTTGAAATATATTCTTAATGGTCTATAGTGGAAATGACTACAAATTGCTGAAGCCAGGGAGATCTCAAGAAGCAAGACACGTTTATTTCTTAATGATAAAACAAAAATTCTTCAGTCAGATATCATGTGCAGCCATCAAAAAGGCTCAAAATAAAAAGATTCCTCCTTGGCAGAAAGCTTGGCCCAGCAAGGTTCCATTTAAGCACTGTTGTAGACCTGCATAACCAATCAGCTTTGAGGAAAATGGTTTTGCCATCACAAGAGTTTAAAGTAAAAAACACACATCAAATTTAAAATTTAGAATGTGTTATTATAGGAGCTGTCAAGTCAAGTCTCTTATTATGTATAATAACAGTCCAGGAAAATGAGCTTACAGCAGTGAGATTTAGAAGATGCTTCCCTTGGTGAATTTGGGCTTTGAGGTATAGAAACTTTGTTTATAACAAAGATATTTTGGGAACAAAGGCGAATATTATCTGTTTGCTATTTACATAAGTCAGTTGCCTTCATCAAAAGGCAGACTAATATATATATTTACTTAATATACATTTTTTATGTAATTAAAATGAACTGGAATGTTATACCCATGGATGGCAACTCAGCAACTTGATTTAATTTGTATTACATAAAACTAGCAGGACATAGTGTTCTTTTTGAAGTCAAATATAATCCAGTCACTGGGGATTCAGAATTTTAGATGAGTTGGGTACAATGGCAAATGAACTCTCGGCTATCATGATAATACAACCTAATGAAAACAGGACTTGAGAAATTCACTGAAGTGGTTATGTTATGGATTTTTTTCCTGAAATCTGACTTTCCATAATAAAGATTTCACTTTCAAATAAATGTGCCAATTACACTTTTAATTGACAAGAGCAAGCTTTGCTATCTTTGCTTAACTTGGATTCTCCTGTTCTGTTATGGCTTTACAAGAGAAAACATTTGTTGTGGTGATGTTTGCTTATTTTAATGTTGGGATTTAAAAACCAAGAAAGATTGGATTTGATGGCGAAACCTGGTTCCTACCTGGTATGATTGTGTATGTATGTTAATCCAGTGGTTGCCCATGGTGCTGTTCTTCCAAGGACAGAGAAGTGCTGTGTCATTCGTTTTGGGCCAAATAACATTGTATTTCTTAGTGCCTCCCTGCTTCACGTATTTAGTGCCACAAATAATAAAAATGTACTAGAATATTTGACTTTAAATGAAGCTAGGACTATCTTTTAACTCTACATGTATCCAAGACGTGCAAAGTTAAATGTGCTTCAAGTACCTGCTTGCCTTTGTCTGATTTTGTAGAGACTGAATAGTATTTATCACGCTGTGTGCACATTGAGATGAATTTGCAAATGGTAGGACCCTTATGGAACAGTGGCCTACAGTGTGTTCTTGGAAGTGAAATGGGAGTTCTGATGCTGGATGACCTGGCCTATCCTGTGCCCATTCATGTAGAGGGTAATTTTTGATTTTGGCTTTACCCGTATAGGTTATTGGGAGTTGCCACTAAACCTCACTTTTGATAACTTTCCTCTATTTACCCTTGTTCTCTTGGCCACAAGAGTGATTAGTTGTCATGAAATAATTTATGTTTCTAAAATCCAGCCAAGTTATTGAATGAGTGAATTCTTAGTAGTGTTGGATTGGATTGGGAGAATTACCAAATTTTCTTTCATTAAAAAAAAAAAAAGAAGTGCTCAAACTTTATACATTTTTTTTTTTTT